TCTCTCTTCTCTCTCCCTCCCTATGTCTGTCCCTATCTCTCTCTGTGTCCCCCCCACTCCCCTCTCCACAGGTGCTCAGAAACACCGTGTTGCTCCTAAGGAGGACGTGGGGAGTGGCACAGGGTGACTGGGGTTCAGATTTCCAAGAGGGAGCGAGGGCAGCTGGCAGAGGTGCCCCTGGGACACATCAGACACGTGGTCGGAACTTGGAGATGGTTTGTGACCCACCTAGAAGAGCCCTCCTGGCCTCTCAGCTGCACTGGTGTCCTGCCATATAAACGCACTGCCCCACCACGTGTCTGTTTTTCTCTGTCTGGCAAACCCCTGCGGGCACACACTGTGGTTTCCCGCTTCCCGGGCTGGAGCCCGGCATGTAAACTGGCGCCCAATCAACAGCCGCAAGCGTCCACAGGGAGCCAACGCTGGCTCCTCCTCGCTGTGGCCGAGGAGCCAGCAGGGCACAGGGCAGTGGGAACCTGCTCTTTACTGGGGGCTTCTGCCAGGACCACAGGGGAGATGGCTCTGGGTGAGTGTCAGCCCAGCTGGGCACAGTGCTCACACCTCCAATCCCAGCAACTCAGAAGGAGGATGGTGAGTTCAAGGTCAGCCTCAGCAACTTAGGGAGACCCTGTCTCAAAACCTGGAAAGGCTGGGGCGTGGCTCAGTGGTGCAGCACCCCTGGGTTCAACCCCAGCACCCAAAAGAAGAAGTCGGGAGGAGGAAGAAGAATTCAAACCCAGGCCAGGCCTTGTCGGGGCTTCTGCGTCCCCAGGAGAGAGTCAGCACTGACCCAGGTGTCCACGGCTCACAGGGAACAGGGTTGTGCCTCTGTTCTGGCACCTCCGGGGCTGGCAGGCCGGGTCCTGAGGTCCTCGCATGCAGAGGGGGCTCTGGTGGCACCTGCCTCCTCTCACGTGCTACAGGCCTCGTCACCACTCAGGTCTGTGCCTCAAGTCTGTGTCTGTGGTTTGCTATGCCATAAGGTGACGGTCACGGGGCACTTCAGTGACTCCCACACACGTTTGCCCCTTGCCCGGGAGCTCGTCCTCGTCACCTGGGAAAGCCCTGGCATCCTCCCAGAACAGGGCAGACCAGGGTCCTGTCTCGGTGCGTCTGACTTTGGGGCTTCGTCTCGGGCCGTGTGGCTCCGTGGTCTTCTGCTGCCCACGTGGTCTCAGCCGAGCTGACTCCCAGCCTCCGCCTCCAGGTGCGTCAGACGAGCCCACGGCCTCGAGGACTCTGGGCCTTCTGCTGCCACCAACCCCACAAGGCTTTGATCCCTGACCCTAAGGGACCCTGCCCTCCATGGGCCCCTGATGTTCCTGGGCCTGCAGCAGTGCTGCCCACCTCCTCTGACAGGGCAGGGCAGTCCCCCCCATCACTGGGCTCTTGGAGACTTGGCGTCAGGTTTTACCTGAAGTAGTGCTTGGCCGTCATCAGGGATAAAAGAACCAAAATCAGAAACAGCATTCTCCGCTTAGAATTCATTGCCTCCTAAGGAAAGGGAGGGAGGGAGGGTTTAACCCACAAGGAAGCACACCCTGTCACCTCCAGCCACAGGTCAACAGGCAGACATCTGGACACCACCTAGGGCCTCGCTTTCAGAGGGTGCGGCCTCGGGGAGGGAGCCTGGAGCTGGGACACCCCAGTTCTACGGACAGTGCCTGCCCATCTCCAGGAGCGGGTGCTCCTGATGTCCCCCTGGCTGCCGTGAGGAATGCAGACCCCGGGGATGGAGCCGGGGACCTCCTCAGCTGCAGGTGCCTTCCCCAGTGGCCTGTACTCCTTTGTCCTCCTAGGGACAGTAAGCTGGTGCTTCCGAGGCCATGGTGGTCCGAGACAGGACTGTAGTGGGGACTGGTATCTAAATCAAAGGCACCAGCCCCCAAAATGGAGCCCGTGCTCTGGCTGGGGCCCAGCTTGTGTTGCAGGTTTGTGTTGCAGAAAAGCCCCCTGGGGGTCGTGCAGGGAGGGGGTCTCAAGGCCAAGGGGAGCCTCTCTGTTTCATCACTGAACACTCATTTGATAACCTCCTGAAACGCGACTGCTCTGAGCTGATGGGGGCCTCTAGGCGGGAGCACACTGGCCTTTGCAGACACCCAGCCTGAGAGCAAAGATCTGAAATAGCTCTTCACAGGTTTTGATATTGGTGACACTCTATGTTGGTGACACACTGCCGTGGGGACAGCATGCATGGCACCTGCACTTGCGAAGGTAAGCAAGACGAGCACTTTGTCACAGGGCTACTGGGAAACTGGACGAGACGTGGCTCCCATCCTGTTTCCCCTGGCCACTCTGCACAACCCCTGGGCACGTTCTCAGGCCTTTGTAGTTTGAAGCTGTCCACCTTTTAAATTCAAGGTCATTGGAACCAGCATGCGGAGGGGCCAGTGTGGTCCCCCTAGCCACTGCCCTGCTCCCGTTCCCAGCAGCAACCCGCCCCTGCTGGTGCAGCCAACAGCCCTCTGAGGTCAGGTCAGGAGTGGTCACAGCCACCACTGACACCATCACCCCCAGCCCCAAACACCCCTGGGCTGCCTTTACCTCGGGTCAGGGTGGGTAAGGAGGCAGTCGAAGTCGTCCCCCAGGGACAGGTACTGTCCTGCGACCTCTGTCCAGTCAAGAGTCACACCCTGCTGTGGCTCTCCTGCCTTCTGATGGTGGTGATATCGCTGTTCTCCTTTGTGATGCGGGCATCCCTGGGCTGTCACTGCAGCAGGCCTGGCCACTGGAGGAGTCCCAGGGTACCTTGAAATGCTCTTCTTGCCTTGCCGTGCCCCTGTGCAGGTGCGTGGCCCACCCCCTCCTAGAGGGCACCTCGACCAGTGGGCGTGGGCATTTCCAGGTGGGGCAGAGGAAGCCGAGTCCTGGTCTCCCTGCGTCCGCCCAGGGTGCCTGTCTCTTCCTGGGAGCCTGCTGGTCCTCATTTCCCCGACAGGACACACACCTACACGCTACAGCACGAAGACAGGGTGTGTGTGAGCCTGCCTTCTCCAGAGGACGTCCTGACTTGTGACCACAACACAGACCCATCAGAAAATGGAAGATTTTCTTACTGAAAAAATCTGGACACTAGTTTCTCGTGGCTGGCGGAGCAACTGCCTCAAACGCGGGCCTCAAGCCAACTCGCGGATTCCCTTGTGGCTTGGCACCCGGAGATCTAAGAGGAAGGTCCCCCGGGGGACAGGCTCCTGAGAATCCTGCGTGGGGTGAGCAGTCTCTCCAGCTGAGCGCCGGGCTGGAGTGATGCTGTGAGTAGCTCTGCTCTCCAGTGCTGCCGAGCTCGCGTCCGCTGGTGCAGGAGCCACCTACGTGTCTCCGTCTCTGATGCACCTGCTGCTGGATGCCTGGCTCCCACTTGGGCCACGCACCCCCTCGCTGCCTCTGCCCCTCGCTGTGCCCAGCCTGGGCCTCTTCCTGAGGGTCTGGGGGCCGCTCCTTCCTATGGAGGCCAGGCACAAGGGGCGCCCCCAGGCCCCACTGCATGGCTCTGGGCACCTAAGCCCCTCCAGCCCCAGCCTGGCTCCACAGAGGGGGCAGGGGCAGCACCTTCTGGCCAGCGGAGCTCTTGCCTGTATTTTCCGCTCTGGTTTGGAAGGTGCTCCCCACTCGGACAGGAACTTACCCCAGAGTCCTCCGTTAATGGTATCACCAGGGTGGGCACGTAATCCTGCTGTGGTATTGAGAAGTGGGGATTAGATTTGGGGTCATTAGGGTGGAGCCCCAACACTGAATCCTGGTGGCTTTTTTTTTTAATTGGGTCTCACTATACTGCCCAGGCTGGCTTGAACTTGAATTCCTTGGCTCAAGCAATTCTCCTGCTTCAGTTTCCTGAATGGCTTAGGACATGTCACCATGCCTGGTTCCTGGCGCCTTTATAAGAAAGGAAGAGACCACAAGACACACACACACTCACACACACACACACACTCACACACACATGTGCTCCCTATCTCATGTCTGTGCTGCTTTGGGACTGACAGCAAGAAGACCATCACCAGCTGCAGCCCCTAGATTTTGCACCTCCAGAACAATGTGCCAGAATAAACCTCATTTCCTTATAAAGTTAGCTACCTTGGACATTTTGTTATAGTAACAACAACTGACTAATACATTATCTGCCCTGTTTCTCAGTGAATACCCCTGAAACCAGGCGTGGTGGTGTATCCACGCCATTCAGGAAACTGAGGCAGGAGAATTGCTTGAGCCCAGGAGTTCAAGTTCAAGTTCAAGGCTGCCATGGCCTCACTGCCCTATTAGCATGTGTTTGTGCTTATGTCAAGTGTCAGGAGCAGCAATTGAATTATGGGTCTCAAATTATTCTGTGACATAGGCCATGCCCCTCTGGAGAATTCTCCAAGCAAGGCTTTGATGGAGATAGCCCAGTTGCTATGGTGATGCCCCGTTCAAAGGGAGATTCTGTGCGAGCCTCAGAGTTTTATCAGTTCTTAACCTCGAGTTCAAATGCCACCTACCTGGGGGGTAGGGAGTTCTGGGCTCAAACTGCTAATTGGGCTGCAGAGACTTTTATCCTTCACTCTGAGTGCTTTGAAGACACTTTCTCACAATGAATCCTTTTGATGTTTGAACCCCCAGAATAAACGTGCAGAGCTGCCAGTCCCCCTCATCAGAGGCTGCTGAACCCCCGGGGTCTGGCTCTTCCTCTGTTTGTCTTTCCGTGCTCCCCCTCACAGCCCCATCCAGTAGCCCTGAATAACCTGTGGTGCAGGTTGCAGCAGGAGAGAACACAGACGTGCTTAGGGAACGTTAATAATTCCATTGTACGGAGCCCTCCATCCAAGAATGTGGGTGTTTCTCCTTTTATTTAATTTTTTCTTTACAAATTTTCTTTTGGGGTCTTTAGAAAGATCATCGTTTACTTTGTACAGACCTGTCTCATTTTAGCGTGATCACTACCACTATATCGCATCACACGACTAAACCAGTCAGGGTCACTCCACGTGAATTTGGGGACTCAATAAAGACACAGACACAGAAAGTACCTTTTCTTTGGGTTCAGTGACGGCTCCTCAGCCACAGCTGCCACGAGGCGGGCAAGAAAGACAGCGAGGAGCCACACTGAACCCTTTTATTGGGGAGAGGCCACTCAAATGAGAGAAGGGGTCAGGGGTCAGGGGGTTGAGTCCAGCTTCCTGATGTCTGCTGTCAGCGGTTGACTGACACCTGGGGAGGCGACGCCCATCTCATGAGCTGTGTGGGGATCAAGGCAGGGCGCGCGAAAAGACCAGAGCGAGGCTCTAACAGAGGGCCCACGTCGGGTCTGTCCACCCTGTGCCCTCAGTGCCCACAGTTCACACACAGCCCAGGGCGGCTGGCCACACCTCCACTCTCGCATCGCTCAGGGCTAAGGGCGCTCGGGTCCTGTGTGGCAGCTCCCCACTTATTCCCCCTTTCCTAATAAGTGAAGGCAATTGGGGAATTCTATCTTCCAGTCACTGGATTCTTGGTCCAAGGTTGTCTTGACCTCCTATTGAAACCAAAGGACGTATCATTTCAATAACATACCCATCGAATATTTCCGCAGATTTAGGGTCAGAGTCATTCAAATAACTTTGGAAGATCCAGGTTATTAGTATTCCTCTGCCAAACACTCATTAGAAGATTCTTGATCTTTTCCCAATTTTCATTGGCAAGCATTGTGCTTGGCCATTGAAACACAGGCATTTTTATTTGGCATTTAACCCTTTCCACAAACCACAGAGCAGAGGCTCATTCGCAGTATTCATCCCAGTGGTTTCTAAGATTTTAACGTAGTTCCAATCTTTCCCTCAGCACTTATCTGATGATGAAGGGGCTTAGAAGTAATTTAAGTCAAATTATTGAAAAACCCATATGTTGTAAGTTTTAAAAAATAGCCACAAAGGCTGTATTGTAGGAACCATGAATAATATTTTAAGTAGTCACTTCAAGGATCCCAAGACCAAGAGCTGGCCCAGGTCTGGTTAATGGCACGCGCCTGTTTCAAGGCCTGAATGTCAGCCTCAGCAGGCCGGCTGGCCATAGGACACAGGGTCAGTGTCCTTTTTCTCTACCATAACTAGTGATAAGATTAGGCAAGTCGTACCTTTTATAGGTTACAGGATATGTATCCATCCTTCCTCTCAATTCTCACATTTAAGGAGTCTTTTAGGTCTGTCAGGAAGGTAAAAAGGCAAAAGTCAAACATCAGAACATCCTTTGGGGTGCCATCTCGCTGAGGATCAAGGTTTCTAGGAGTGATGGCATCCTCGTGATTCTAGGAGACCAGCCTAAGATCTATCCACTAGACCCCTTATGGCAGGGCATACGCACGACCCACCACCCAGAAAAGGTGTCGCCTTCTATTGTAGAAGGATCAGGGCTGTGATACACTGGTGGATAGTTCAGGTAAATACCTGGCCTGCGGGAAATTCTATTTCAGCAATCTCTCTGTTTTGACGATTGTCCAGATACATAGTCTTAATCTCTAAGGACCAGCATGACCGGCTGGTTGAGGTTTCTCAGAAGATACTCCCCGACAGCCTGTTCACCACAGGATCCACATCGAGGTGCAGCTGACCACTACAACCAGTACAATTAGTCCAGTTTCATGGGTGGACTTAGTCCTCACTGCAAGGCACTTTAAAGGTGGACCTGAGAAATGTTCGTGATTTTTGGTGACCTGTCAAGCCCGTGAAGCTGCATGGCTGTGAACTCTGCAGCTGGAAATCCACCGTGCTGTGTCCACCTCCCCACGATGACCAGCTGAAACTCTACCTTCTGAAATTTGACTTAACTTACTAAATCATGTTCAGCAGCAGTAAGACTCTCAGTATCACGATTAAGAAAAAATGTTAAAATATTTTGTAAGACCTACTATGTGCCTGTGGGGTCCTGTTTTTCCCCCTTTTTATTTAATAAAATTGAGTAAAGGCCTGAAGTAAGCCATAGCATCATAAGCTTAAGTTATAGATAATAGTACACGTATTTGAATAATAAGAAAAGATTTACTGTCTTTAGTTGGTCCTGAATTTTGACAGAAGTTATTTAAAAGGACCATGGTAAACAGAAACTTAGCCTTTACTGAATGCATGACTTGATTTTTACTTTAACAGAATTACCAAAAATGAAGAATACAATAAGTTGTATATAAAAATTTATATTTTGAAATTAGCTCTAGATTAACTTAAATAATTATCTTAATTTGGAATGAAGTGAGAGAAAGAGTTTATAACTTGGGAGTGGTGGTCTTTAGTAGGGGCATGAGAAACATATAGACATCTGTCCAAAATAGGAAGTACATATGTTAAATAAGCCTAGAGAAGATGTTTTGGTTTTTTTACCATTAATAAAGAATGAACTAGAGAAGTGAATATTCTTTTATCTACAAATTCATGAAAAACTGTCATTATTGTTATCAAACTTAGTGTTGACCTAAGTAGGGGGAGTTAGTATCTCAAATATTAATGGGCAAAGACAAGTCAACAGTGTGGTTTAAGACAGTGATCTAATTTAAAATTTTATGACATCGAGCTACAATGACATTTTGAGGGGTTTATGTCAAAATAATCTTTGTGTATAAAGAAACAGCTGCACAAACATCCTTAACAACTCCACTCAATGTAGCAAAATTAGCTCCAGCACCATGCATAATCCATGACTTTACTAATTTTAAAAATATCAACGTATGTAGGGCATCACCTTATATTATTAAAGTTGAGAAAAGGTCTATCATGCTAAATTTTTTATTGAAATAAGCTATCAGCTGTTGAGCTGATTTATTTATGGCTGTCTGTCTAATATTTTAGGGGTAACTATTTTTAGAGTCATTTTTCTCAGTGATAAACTGTTGACAAGGGTTCAAAGTAAGACCCTGTTTTAATGTTTAGAGGCTTTCAAAACCTGATTATAATTTAGAAAAGGAGTAAACTTGTTAACAAGGAAGTTTATTTTTCTTGGGGTGAGATTAGCATTTCAATCTCTTTCTGTCTGTATGTCTGTCTTCCTTCCTTTGGTCTCCAATCAACTATGGTGTAACATTTAAACTTGTCTAGGACTGTGTTGACCTTTGCCAATCCCAGGGAATGTCTAGGGCTAACTGGATGATAAACCCAACTTTGAAAATGGGTGGCCCCCTAGAAGCTTAAGGTGCTGCACTGTCTTTTTGAGTCTCTCTATGAAAATAGGATTTTTTAAAGGCTTACTAAAATTCCTTTTTAGGCATTTTGTTTATGTGCTGGATATCTGTTTGGGGAAGTTGTCTGTGCTCCAGACAGATAACCAGGACATGGTTAAGATAAATCTCCCTTAAAACTGTTTTTAAGATGGCCCTCTATTTTAAGGTTTAGCTAAGTAACAGCACATCTCTCTAGATAAGGTTAGACATCTGGCATAAATTTTGAAATATTACAATATATGAATTTGGATCTCTCAAAAACCTCCCTGAGTTTGTTCTGATCTGTATTAAGTTTGAGAAGTCCCCTTTGATCTTTGTTTCCAGTAGGTAATTTTTAAGGCCTTCTCTGTTAATAGTAAATGAGGCTAGATATAAAATTGAGACATTTTTTATTAATCATTGTGATTTTATAGTACATAGACTAGCTGATCCATTTTGATGTTACCTGCAAATGGACAATTTAAGAAGAACCCTCAATCCCTTCCTGAGAGAAAGTCTCAAAATATCTCTATACCTCAGAATATTATCTTTTAAATAGGTATCTCTTGTCTTTTTAAAAAATATGATTAAGGCCGCTTCCCAGTGTAGGGAGTAGTATATAAACCTTATCATATTTTTTTATGGATAATATGTCCAGTCAGAGAACTTAGATAATACAAAAAATTTCCAACAAAGTTTGTAGATTTTATTGTTCAAAACTAATGTATGATTTTAATTTGGAGAGCTCAAGTTCTAATAAAATGCTCTCCCAAATCCTACAAGTATCCAACAACAGAAGTAATATGTAAGAATCAACAGGAATCACTACTGGCATCTTTGAATCAATCAAATTTAGTCTCCAAGAAGAAGTGTCAAATTGAAATTTAAGTCAGCATTTCAAAATATTTATTATTTAATCAAAGAAGTAAATTAATTAACTAAAATTAATCCTTATCTTAAACATTAAGAATCACTAGGTAAATAAAGACCTTACTTGATGGAAACAAACTTAACATTTTAATAGGTCTTTATCATGTTGAAATATGGACCCAATCTTGGTTTATATTAGTATAATAAAATCAGGGAATGGAGTCTGAAATATCCTAGAATTAATCAGTTCAGATTGTTATAGTCAGTCCAGTTATACATACATTTGTTTTCCAATTATTTTAACTTTCTATATCATCAGTCTAGATAATGATATAAGGATTTCCTTATTTAGGAAAATTTTTTTATCATTAAAATCTAGGCAATAAAGACCTTGTTTTACCCAAAGATAATTTCTTTGTTCTTCTTAGATCTCCAATGTGTGCTTGCTCTCTGTGGAAGTATTTTCCTCTCCTTTTGGAATTTCTTTTGGTTATACTTTGGAACAATTTCTGTAAATCTTAGAATCTAAACAAATTATTGTACCTTAATAAGAAGAAATATCTCAATGAAAAATATCATTAAAGCCCTTAGACATTTCTGTAGACAGAATCATATCTGTTTATCATCTAATAAAGTTTATACAATAATTTGAGAATTAGAGATTACTTGATGGTTGTATTTTCTTGAAAGCAAAATTCTTATAGTAAAACACATTTATCTTAATTTTTTAATATTTGTATTTTAGTTGTAGATGGACACAATACCTTTATTTTATTTATTTATTTTTATGTGGTGCTAGGCAAGTGCTCTACTGCTGAGCCCCAACCCCAGCGCTATCTTAAATGTTTTAAACTATAAAAGGCAGAGCATCAGATAAATGCATGTATAAGAAATATAAATTCTGTGTTTTCTGTTGAAGGAAAACAATTAGAAGCAAATAGACACATATTAATTAAATAAATAGACATATGTGTTAATTATTTTATGAATTACTGATCATAGATTATTTAAATAACTGGAAAAATATGTATTAAGAATAAAGGTATAGCTCTAATTATGTCGACCTTATGAAACTACATAGTTCTTAAACTATTTGGATCCATTTCAACTTATTTTAACTATGGGTGTACCCTTAATTTAGTTAAAATAAGAACCCAGCCAATACATTTATTATTTTTTTTTGTATTTGTATAGTTACAAATGAAAACAAGGATTTTTTCGGTCATCACGGGAACATTGTGACAAACTGTCTCCGGCTTTTGTTCCTGTGATGAGCAAAATGCATCCTCATAAGCTCCAAAAGGAAGACAGGAGGAGCCCTGTCTCTCTGGCGGTCGCGACACGGCCTCTGCAGCTGTGGAGAAAAGATGAGGCTGCCCAGCTCGAGAACAGTCGGGCTCAGGCTGCCCGCAGGCGCTCGCGGAAGGGATCTTTGGCTGGTACCGGCAGTGGACATCTCCTGCAAGACGAGGGCCACAGCCCCGGGGCCAGCCACGCGGGGGCGGGGCCAAAAGCCCCGTTTGAGTGACAGGGAAAGGGACAACGCGGGAGGCGGGACTTTTCTGCCATTTGGTCCCCGCCGTGTGCCCGGTGAACTCCTAGGTGTAGAGCCTCGGGGAGAACCCCGATGTTGGCCGTCCCTTTGCATGTCCACTCCACATCTCCGTGCGACCACGTGGCCGGGCACCTCGCCGGTGCCCCGGGTCGCCGAGGTCGGGTGGAGGTTCACAGTGGGAACCTGAAGCCAGGCGCCAGGCGGTTACGACGGAGAGGAAGCAAGAGTGGCGCTGGTGGCCCCGCAGCCCGGGCTCGCCCCGGGGCATAGGACACCGAGCAGCTGCACTGTGTGGGTGTCCCGCCAGTTTTTCGGGGCGGGCGTTGCCCGCTGGGCTGTCCAGCTGGGGTCGCAAACCAGCAATTTGTCCTTTCCCTGTCAGCATCTCCATGGGAGCCGCGCGGTGGGCCTGCACCGATGGCCAGGCCAGGGTCCGCAGTCCTCCGCGCTAGCGTGGGCAGTCCGCCGGTGGTCCCAGGGTGACAGCAGCGCCCCTGCCGCTGTAAATGGCCGTTCTCGCAGGTGCCCGTATTGCTTGGGATTGCAGGGGATGTGATGGCCAGGTTCGTGACCCTGCGAGTCCCCTGAACGGTGGCGTCTTGGAAGTTTCTGGGGCAGATGCTCGCGGCTCCCAGCTGTTATTCGGTCCCAGAACGTCCCCAGGTGTGGGATTCTGCTCCATCTGGTTGTTGTTCTCACTTGGAAACCCTCGGGGGCAGCGCCGCGCGGGTGCTCCCGGGGTGCCCTGCTGGAGCCCCGCGTCCAGGGCGGTGGCCCTGCCTGTGCTCCTGCAAGCCGCTGCTACCTGTGTTTCCACCTCCTGCTCCGTGAGCTCCAGAGCCAGGGTCAGTGGGCAGCACTCTGTCAGGGAAAGGACCCGCTCCCTGCACCCTCCTCCCCCAGAGCGCCCCTCCTGCAGCATCTTGAATTTGAAAAATGGGCCCCTCAGCAGAGGCTGGCTCAAGGGTTTGGCTACCAAGGTTTCCAAGGGGCAGAATTAGCTGGCGGTTCCACAAGGGACAGCAGCCAAACCCTGCATCTGCCCCAAAACAGCAGAAAAACGAAATTTGCTTCTCTAGAAGTAGAAAAAATCCCCCATATCAATCTTACCATAAGAAATCTTTGCCTTTGCTCTCTCGCTCTCCAAGCGCAGATCCCTGACATATAACTCAAAAAAAAAAAAAAAACTTTACCTAATATTTCAAAATATAAGAATTCACAAAAACAATCAGAAAAAATCCACAAAGCGCTTTTCCCATGGGAGAGGACTGAACTTAGCAACATACCCTCTATCAATCATCTTAATTTCTGTGGTACTTGCAATTTTCTAATTCCTCATTTTTATGTCTATTTATGGTCCCCAGAATTGCAAAAAATAAAATTCTTGCTGTCTCTAAAAACAAAAATTTCCAGATATTATAAGTTTAAGGTCACTGACTTTCTTTTGTCTAATTATCACCCTTTTACAAATGAATCCACAATAATTTTTAAATCTATGCACACTATCACTACTGGAAAGAAAAAAAACAAACCACCAGTTCTCAAAATTCACATTGGAGTCCCTGTTCAGGCGCCAATTGTTGTGTCACACGTCTAAACCAGTCAAGGGTCACTCCAAGTGAATTTTGGGACTAAATAAAAACACAGAAAGTACCTTTTCTTTGGGTTCAGTGACCTCTCCTCAGCCACAGCTCCCACAAGGGGGGCAAGGCAGGCAAGACAGCGAGGAGCACATGCTGAACCCTTTTACTGGGGAAAAGCCATTCAAATGAGGCAAGGGGTCGTTTCAGGGGGTTGAGTCTAACTTCAGGATGTCTTGCTGTCAGCAGGTTGACTGACACCTATGAAGGCCACGCCCATCTCGTGTGCTATGTGGGATCATAGGCAGAGTGAGCAAAGGGACGCATTCATAGCCCGCCCAAACAGAGGGACAACACGGGGTCTGTCCACCCTGTGCGCTCAGTGCTCACAGTTCACACCCACACAGCCCAGGGCGGCTGGCCACATCTCCACACTCTCATCACTCAGGCTAAGGGCGCTCGGTTCCTGTGGGCAGCTCCCGATCCACTACAGGTCAGATCTTGTTCTTGCCTTTCCAGCAGCTCGGGCTGGCCCATCCAAAGGATTCTGATTCCACGTGTTCTCTTTGCAGCCAGCGGCCCCCGCAGCCACCTTAGTGGACCGATCCCTCGCAGGCAGCAAAGCACTCTGCAGTCAGTGTGGCCCCTCTTTTCATCCGCGTCTCTCACATCTCTGTATCTCAGCAGCTCCCTAGAACATGCCAGAGAAGGCAGCAGCTGCACCCTCCTGCCTGTCCCTGACTCAGGGCACGGCCAGTGTCTCCAGCGGGGACTGGCCTTCACCAAGTGAAGACCAGCATGACACTGGGCAGCCCCCGGTGTGGACGTGGTGTCTTGGAGAGAAGTGCAGGCCCCCTTCTTCAACTGCTAGCCAGGAATTACACGGGGGTGCCTTCCAGGGTTGGGTGTCCTCACGCCAGGTGGGAATCCCACTGGCACTGGGTGTTGCCACTCCCTGGCCAGGACAGGCCACCCAGACCTCCCGGTCCCAGAGACTCCTCAGATTTCCTAAGGATAGGAATCAGAACTGTGCCAGCCTGGAGAAGGACACCAGAGACTTCCCAGAAGGAGGGGCATGTTCCAAGTCTTGCAGGGGCCTGGAGTGCCACATTGACCCCAATCCTGAGCTGCCTCCACCTCTGCTTCTGGACTGAGGCAGACTCAGGGATGCCCGTGCGAGGGGTCAGAGCAGCTGGGCATGACAGGTGGGCCTGGCAGAAGGCCTCAAAGGAGCCAGCACAACCCTACAAGGGGAAGGGCTCCTGGACGCCATGTTCCTGGCCCAGCCCCCATCACAGAGACCCCAGGTGCCAACCCACAGCCACCTCGACCCTCTGCAGCGGCCTCTCCAGTCTGTCTGGAGCTGACTTCCCCCAAGACCCAGAAGCCACAGGGAGGAGGAGCTGCCCGCCACCTGGCCTGGGTGGGGAGAGACACTTCTGCCACTCGTTGTCAGCAGAGATTCTCTGCCCATCTGAACACCATTTCTTAAATCTCTTCTTTTAAAAAGTGGTAGGAAGTTGTGGAGAAGAGCGTGGCCTCTTGGAAGGGACGGCCGACCTCCTGGAAGCTCTTTCCTAGGTAGGAAGCCCAGGGCCCGCCTGTCTGGGAAAAGTGATTCCCCTCCAGCCCCTGGCCGGCCGACCCCCGTTGCCCACCTGGGAGGGAAGGGGTCTGCAGTCCCCAGAGCTGCCACAACCTTGCAAAGCAGGGCCGGGCCAGCAGCTCATACAGGCCCCAGGACCCACATGGGCCCATGCCCAGGTGGCAGACCTAGCTTTATGTGAGTGGCAGCCTGTGGGCAGCTCCTCTGTGTCTCTGGAGGGTCGGCTCTTCCCGGTCCTTCGCTGCCTGGCCCAGCTTTGATCTCATGTGGGAGCCGGGACCTCCCCCACTACCTGCCACCAGCACACCTTGTGCCCGGATGCTCCCGACACCCGCAGGCTGAGCAGATGCTGCAGACATGCCAGGAGATGCTTATCTTCACCTCTTGCCATCCCCTGCCAGGAAGGGCACAGGCTGGAGGCCAAGCCCCATCTGGGCCCCTGACCCTCGCACCCAGTCTCCACAGCCTGGCCTGCTCCTGACTCCCTCTGTCACTTCCTTTCTGACCCAGCTGGACACCAGTTCAAGCAGATTCCAACGTCAGCTCAGGTCAGGTCATGAGCAGTCAAGGGCAGCAGCCACAGGGGACTTTAAACTGCATTCCCACGGGCACAGGATGTTGTGGACAGGCAGAGACCAGGTCATCCCACAGGGTCTGGAAACCACAGGGCAGAAGCAGGCATAAAGGGCAGGCACAGCCGAGGCACCCACCAGGAAGGATGGCCCTGCTCTTGCTGGTCCTGGGGCTGAGCTTGGCTGGGGCGCAGAAGTTCAACCCCCTGGCTGTCGTGGATAAGAACTACAACATGGCCAGGGTGGGGACAGGCCAGGCTTCTGGGGCATTTTCTCTCCTCAACTTGGGGTCTTTGACCTATGACAGCGTGGTTCTGCCATGGGAGGCCCTCTCCTCCCCAGCTGGACAGAAGCCAAAGGGCCAGGGGGGACCTGGGAGGGCAGAGAGGACCTGGGAGGTTAAAGGGGACCCTGGGGAGCAGAGGAGACTTGGGAGGTCAGAGGGAACCCTGGAAGGACAGAGGGGGCCTGGGAGGTCAGAGGGGACCTTGGGAGGGAGAGGACCCCTAGTTGCAGCTGACACCTATAACTGGCACCGAGGAGCCCCATGGCATCCAGGGCTCCCCATCGTCACACCTTTCCCTCCAGATTTCAGGGGTCTGGTACTCTATTTCCATGGCCTCAAACAACCTGTCGCGGATTAAAGAAGACGGAGACCTGAGGATCTTCATTCGGAATATTGAACACTTAAAAAACGGCAGCCTCAAGTTCAATTTCCGCTTCATGTGAGTGTTGCTGGACAAAGGGGACTGCACCCCTCCCACTGGCATCCGGACTCACACTCACACTCTGGGCCCACCCTCGGGGAGGGATCCTGAGACACGAGAGAGGAGCGGTGCCTGGTGATGGCCCTCTCTGTGGACCCAGCTGAGACCCCCGGCGGGACTGGGGCGTGAAGCCTATGCCTCAGGGCAGATACTTCCTGCCATAGACCCTGGGGCTGGGGCCCCACTCCAAGCGTCACCCCGCTCCTTTCCAGGGTGCAGGGTGAGTGTGTGGGCGTGAGCATGGTCTGCCAGAAGACGAACAAGAACGGAGAGTACTCCATCTCCTGTGAGTGCGGGCAGGGTTCTTCCTGGTCTGACAGCCAGGGGTCCTTCTGCCCGGCCTTGCCCTGTTTCTGGTGACCACCGACTTAAGGCACTTTATGAGATCCCTGATACCCTGACCCCAAAGCAAGAGGACCTAGCCTGGCTCCAACTCAGGGGCTCCCAGACCAGCTCCTCTTGGGAAGCCACGGGCTCAGGCCCACCGGGGGGCTGGGGTGGATGGAGAGGGGGCCAAGGCGCCCTGCTGCCCACACTGCCACACAGGGGACCCATCTGAGCCGCTCCTGTGCTCCCACTCCCCCTCCCTCTTGGTGGTTGAGGGCTACCACACACAGTGACCCCGCATTGGTCCAGGACCTGGGGGGCGTGGGGCGTGGCGGTGGGCTGTGCTGAGTGGCATCTCCACACAGACGAGGGGGAGAACAAGGTGCTGGTCTCGGAGACGGACTACAAGATGTATGTCATCTTCGACATGCAGAACATCCGCAATGGGACCGAGACCCGCGTGCTGGCGCTCTACGGTACCCCAGCCCCAGCTGTCCTGCTCTGAGACAGGTGCCACCCTGGGCGGGTGGGGGTCTTCCAAGAACCCCAAGTCTGAGAGGAGGGTGAGTGGGGGCTTCAATATCCCTCACCCACCTGCTGGCACGAGCCCCTCTTGCTGGTCAGCAATGCAGCCCTGCCCAGGCCCTCCAGGCCCTCCCCAGACATGGTCCCAAACCTGTCCTCAGGGCGGATCTCAAAGCTGAGCCACAACTTCCAACACAGATTTGAAAGAGTCTGCAGAAAGTACAGACTGAGTTCCAAAAACATCATGGACCTGACCCAAGAAGGTAGGGCTCCTGCTTCAGGCCAGCGCAGGCTGCCTGGCCCAACGGCCCAAGGGCTCGGGGTCTGGGGGGAGGCCCAGCGAGCCAACCAGGGGCCTTTGTCTCCCCAGATCACTGCTACTCCAAGAGGTAGAGCACCCAGCCAGGCCCTCGGTGCGTGAGCTTCCTGGGTGCAGGACGGGCAGCTCAGGGTGGCAATGGAAGCGGATGGGGTTGCCTTGGGGCTGATGTCAGAGGGCAGGGTCCCAGCCCAGAAGGACTGCCAGCACCATCCCTTGAGACCCGTCCTCAGCCACCTGCTGGGGTCTCCTGCAGAAGTAAGGGAGCGTGGAGCGCCTGGTGCAGGAGCAGATCACTGCTGGAGCCAGGCTCATGGGACGTGGGACCTGGGCAGAAAAGAACCCCATGCTGTAGGAGTGTCCTGGGCTTCTGGGCAGAAAAGTGGGGTTTACTCTCTCATAGCTCTGCAGCCAGGAACTCGGGGGTCCAAGACTCGCAGGGCCACTCTCCCCCGGGGCTCCACGGGACCCTTCCACCTCCTCCAGCTGCTGATGGCTCCATGTCCCTCCGCTGTGGCAGCATTGCTCCAGCCTCCTTGTCTGTGTCCCTTCTCCCCTCTCATCAGCACCTGCTAGGTTTAGGGCCCACCCAGTAATTAAGGCAGGTCTCATCTCCAGACCCAAATGGACCGCTGCATGGAGCCCCTTTCCAGATGAGTCCCAGCCGGGGTCTGGGCATCTCTCCTGGAGGCCACCATTCAGCCTCCCGAGTCCCTTCTCAGGAACGAGCCATGGTCCCACAAGATCACCCTCCAAGTCCTCCTTCCCTTCCCAGAGGCCACCCCCATTGGACCCCCACATCAGCTCAGCCTGCGAGTCCTTGAGGTTTCAAGGACCCTGTCCTGCAGGGCCTCGCAGCCAGGAGGAGTGGGGCTGGCAGCCCAGGGAGAGGGCTGACCCATGTAGGCACAGAGGCCCTCCCCGCTGTGTGGTGGTGAATAAAGAGGCAGCAGCCCAACCGCTGTCCTGTGGGTCCCAGGTGATTGTCTGTTGGCCCTGCTGGGAGCAAACACTGTCCCCTACTCACCCACCACCAGTGTCCCCGCAGCTCCGTTCACAGGCACCAATCATGGGACGCGGCCTGAGGTCCCTCAACAGGTGCAGCTGAGCAAACTCTGTCCATCTGCACCGTCCTTAGCCACGGGGAGGATCAATGCGCATGTGCCTGGGGATCCCGTGGGGGAGGCGGGGGCGGATCAGGTTTCCAGCCTTCAGCGGCAGAGCTGCCCAGAATGCTAAGTGTGCAAAGGGACGCCCGCGGGCACCAGGTGGCTGTGCACTCTGTGCCCATGGTGGCTGCACACCTGCACATGGGACAGGGCACAGAACTACATCCAAGCACACAGAAACATACACTCAAAAACACAACCCCACACTCACACCAACACACACATACACCTACTCCCACACTCCCCACAGCCAGGCATGGTCACACGCACCATGCTCACAGGCTCACACTCATGCAGGAGTAGTCACACACATAACCACTCTATAGTCACACACACTCACAAAACACACAAAGACACATGTTCTCACACTTTCACACTCACAGGCAGACCGTCACATTTGCAGGCATACACTTGCTCCCACAGCCTCACACCTCTCTCCACCTCACACACATACATGCTGACATGTACACAGACTCACCAACTTGTGCAGAAACTCAGAGAAACACACACTAACATCACAAGTATTCACACATATTCTCTCAGGTACACATACAAACACCTTCACTCACACACACACGCACATACATATTCACAGTCAGGTGGAGTCCCTCACATATGCATGTTCACATTCATGCTGACATGCACGTGCACATACACTCAGGAGCATACAAAAAATCACAGCCTCGCCCACTCTCACACTCACTCTCACACACCCTTTCCCACTCTCACACTCACACCCTACCCACTCCTACACTCACTCACAGCTTTGCTCACTCTCACACTTTCACATTCATTCTCTCACACTCATTCTCACACACCCTGCCCACTCTCACACTATCACACTCACTCTCACACAGCCTTGCCCACTCTCACACTCACTCTCACACACCCTGCCCACTCTCACTCCTCTCACATAGCCTTCCCACTCTCACACTTACTCTCACACACCCTGCCCACTCTCACACTCCTCTCAACACCCTGCCCACTCTCACACTCCTCACACTCTCACACTCACTCTCACACACCCTGCCCACTCTCATACTCTCTCACATACCCTGTCCACTCTCACACTCCTCTCACACTCACACTCATCTCACACACCCTGCCCACTCTCACACTCCTCTCACACTCACTCTCATACACTCTCACACCCTGCCCACTCTCACACTCATTCTCACACACCCTGCCCACTCTCATACTCTCTCACATACCCTGTCCACTCTCACACTCCTCTCACACTCACACTCATCTCACACACCCTGCCCACTCTCACACTCCTCTCACACTCACTCTCATACACTGTCACACCCTGCCCACTCTCACACTCACTCACACAGCCTTGCCCACTCTCACACTCATTGTCACACACCCTGCCCACTCTCACACTCCCTCTCACACTCTCACACACCCTGCCCACTCTCACACTCCTCTCACACACCCTGCCAACTCTCACTCTCACACTCATTCTCACACACCCTGCCCACTCTCACACTCCCTCTCACACTCTCACACACCCTGCCCACTCTCACACTCCTCTCACACTCCCTCTCACACTCTCACACACCCTGCCCACTCTCACACTCCTCTCACACTCACTTTCTCACACCCTGCCCACTCTCACACTCATCTCACCCTGCAGTGCACAGGCAACAGCACCCTGTCCATGCAGGCAGCATCCATGTCACACAAGGGTGGCGTCCTTAGCTGGGCACACGGCCAGTGACCTGGGAGGCCAGCGTGGGCCCTGGAACTTGGCTGTGGTCTTCCTCGCGACTGCATGAGTATCTCGGTCCTCTCCAAATAAAAGCTGAAATGAAAGCTCTTGGCCTCTGAGCCCCGGAGAGGCCCACGGAAGCCTGCCAGCCTCTGTCCCTCGGTCCTGGGCAGTCCCCCATCTCTGCAGCCCACCTGGAAGTCAGGGTCCCCCCAGAGTCCCCAGGCCCTACTGGGTGGTGGATGGTGGGGCAGCCTGGAGGGCAAGGAGTGGCTCCCTGACCAGAGCACCTCAGTATGAGGAGCAGCTGGCCCCACCCCAAGTCCCTTTGGAGGGAGTCAGGGGGTTGGACCACCTGGGTGGTCAGGCCCAGGGTTCTATGGTGGACGCAGGGGTCACTCAGTACCCACACTGCCCAACACATCCCAGCACCAGCACCTGCTGGTGAAGGAGCCAGGTGTGGGTGCTTCAGGACTAGGGTCCAGACACCCACCCCCCCCTTCCCTTAGGCACTGCGGGGTCAGAGGCTGGCAGAGCTCATCCCCAAAGCAACCTGCCAGGTGGGCAGGGTGGGAGGGGCTGGCTGTCCCACAGGCCTCTCTGGTTTCCAGCTTCCCATCCATTCCTGGTCCAGCCCACTGAGCCACACAAGGGACACACAGGAAGCTGCCCACATGCCCAGCACCTGTGGTGGGCAAAGTCGGCACTGGGGAGCAGCGCCCAGCAGGACGCACCCAAGATGAGATGGGAACAGCCCTGAAGAGGCGCAGGACAAGTGCTGGGGGACGGGGCCACCACTGACCAGACCCCTGGCCCGGCGGCAGACACAGCGCCTGCTTAAGGGGCTGCCGGCCACGGAGAGTCACCTGTCCCAACACCAGCAGGTGTGCCCGTGTGTCCACTGCCTGCAGCCACGCCGCGCTCAGCCTCCAACAGGGACTTCGGGTTCTGCCACTGTCTTCTGTCTCCCTTTGCTCTTCGGTCTGGAGACAGCTCGGACACCCAGATGCACATACAGATACTAGCACCTGTCCCTCGCGGTCACACTTATGTTGCCCGCACAGCTCTTCCAGCTCCCTCCGCTTCTGCCTTCCTGACCTGGCCACAGGTGCTCCGGCAGGTGCTCCTCCACTGACTGCAGTGCCAGGATGGAGCCAGGGCCCCCCAGGCTCCAGCACTCCTGGGTGGACAGCAGCGCCCAGGTCAGGGGCGCACTCCGGGTGTCCTGCCCACTGCTCTGCAGCGCCCGGTCTCACCTGCCACACCTCTAGCCATTCCTCTAGGGTGGGCATTTGGGGTGCCCAGATCCCCCCAAGCAACATCCCACTTTCAGGCCTGAGGGTCTTGCCAGAAACTTCCAAGTGACTCCCCCTGGCCCTGCCCCCCACTTCAGGAGGAGACCTAACCTCACTGTAAGAGGAGACCACTGCCCTGAGTCCCGGGCTCTGTGCCCAGGCAGGCAGCAGCCTGGGGCTCCCACTGGGTCACCCGCAGCTTCCTCCCCTCACCGCCTGTCCCCACCCCTCACCGCCTGTCCCCACGCCTTGCCATTTTGCATTTGTGTTCTTCTTGTTGACTTTGAGCTGTGTTGGCCATCAACCCACTTCTGCCTGCCCAAGAGCACCAGCCGTCCGCCCCTCGGCTCCGGCCTTCCGCCTGGTTACCCTCGTCTGTCACAGGAAACTTAACCTCTAAGTTCCTACCTGCCCCGGGCTGTTTGTGCCTGTTGGGGAAGTCCTGGCTCCAGGGCTGGCTGCACCTTTCCTGTGCCACCCTGCAGGTAGCCTGACACTACCCCTCCCTGGACTCCCAGCCACTCACCAGCTCTGTGACCTGGCCACCTCCATGTCTGTTCCTCACCCACGAGGCCTGGGAGACCCGAGCCTCTGCTCCTGAGGATGACGCTGTGAGGACCAGGCCAGGGCCTGTGGGTATGTACTGAGTGCCGTGGGCGAGTGCTTGTCCAGGGAGCGCTGGCTTAGATTGGCACTGCCATGCTGGTGGGGGGGACAGTCACGTCACTCCAGTAAACATGGGTTCACAGGGCAGGTGTCTCCCTGGCCGTCACTGTGCTCTCCTCAGCCCCCAGAGTCTGCTGCACAAATGCTCCCGATGAAATAATCCATAAGGAGGGTCCCCACGCGGAGTCAGGAGTGAGGACCAGGGTCAGGGCTCTGCTCTGAATCCAGATGCTGACCCATTAGAGCCTTCTGTGTTGTCCTTAAAGGTCAACATTCAAAACCAGAACGTACCTGACAGGGCCGTGTGTGGACTATGGATGGAGGTGACCTTGCCATTGTCCTGGGGGAAAGGACATGGGCATAGGAGGCCAGGAGGCTGCACTGGGAGGGTCCTGGTCAGCCAAGTTCACAGGAACCCAGGCCCCTCTCAGAAAGAGCAGGGGACAGAGTGGGAGGAGAGGCTTCTATGTTGGCAGTGGGAGGAGCCCTGGGCTAGCCACCCAGAGCGTGGGCAGACCCGCTGGGCCCCACATACAGGACCAGGACGCCGGGCGTGGTGGGCATGTACTGTCATGGCCTCCTGCTGCTCTGCCCTCCTGAGGACCAGGGCCAGCACCCCTCACCTGCAGATCTGGGTGGGGAGTGTCAAACCTGGGGCCAAGGAAGCCCAGGACGAGGCTCTCAAATAACCTGCTCTCTGATCCCGGAAGGCCTGAGGGACTCATCTGGGCAGGTGACCCCAGAGAACTCCGCGGGTGCCAGAGTAGGTTGGCAGCATAACAGAGCCCTGGGCTCTGCCCCCGGCCTTCTTCCACTTGCTCCCTGCATTCAGCTGGGCAAGGGCAGAGTCCAGGAGAAGCCCACAGGGGAGGGCTCCCAGGAGGTGGCCCCACTGCAGGGTCTGTGAGGGACTGCGGCCGGGCAGACGGGACGGCCTTGGGAATGCTGCAGCACTGTCCCTGGAGGGTCTGGCAGAGGGGACAGGCCCTGAGGTCACAGGAGTCAGGACCAGATGTAAGGTGCAGAGCTGGGCTGACAGCTGTGGGCACATCACATGGCAAGGCCCCCGTGTCCAGCACCCCGACACCTGTGGGTGGAGGCCTGGACGGTGTCCTGGGGGCAAGGCCTGGGTCTTGCCAGACTCAGCAAGCAGCCCCAGGATGCCGGCCGTGAGAGCATGGCTTCAACCTCTGCTGCACCCCGACATCCCTCCTGGGCCCAAATGCCCCTTTCCGACTTTCTACCTGGAGGACGGCCACCCTGCTGCAGGATGAGTGCCTCCTACCAACCACAGCCGA